CCTAATCTAGGACTTGCTGTGGGAGTGTGTCCACAAGGACACACTGAAGTGTTGAACAGGCACAAGCCTGGAATGGGAGACCATGGTCCTCCCCCAGACTTCCTGTCTTGGGCTTAATGGCTTTGTCTTCATATCTGCCACATACCCTGAGATCCTAGAGAGAAGTCAAGCAATCAGAACTCAAGACACCTCATGTCAGGGTCAAAGAAGAGGACCATGAGTCTCACGTTCTCAGCCTTCCAAGTGAGGAACAAGGGGCAGGAGGAATGGATGCAGACTTTGGCTTGAAAACCAGAGACTTGGTTTAAACCCTGAACCACCACTATCTTACAAAATGGACCTCATCTCAGCTTCTTATAAAGTTGTGCAGTTGCTACCTCATACAGTTGTAAACTATGAAGCGCGAACCCGTTAGACTCATGGTAAGCTATTGCCTCACCTGCCCGTTTTCTTGGGCTCCAGGAACACATGGGTGAAGACTTCGGCTAGAGTAACATCTCTGTTCTCTCTCCATTTCAAAGGGTGCGTTTTATAGGTTTAAACTCTCTTCCTTTTATTTAATCTGACCCCCTGCAGTAAGAGTGCTCTCTACCATGTGTGGCATATTCTCTCCATGGGAAAGCCTGCCAGTGTCTGGCCAATAGTGGTCTTTTTGTTATGCTTTTGTATTTTTAAGACAGTTCCTCATGTTCTCAGTCTTCGGTTGAACTCCCTAAGTAGTTAAGGCTCACATTAAACTCCTAATCCTCCTGCCTCCACCTTCTAAGAGCCTAAATCACAGGTGCACCTATAACTAGCTTCATGTGTATGGTTCTGATCCAGGAGACTAACAAATCTCAGCTGCCAGCCAATCCTTTATGAACCAAATGGATCTGACTTTCTGTTTTTTGTCCTGTTCCTGTCTCTTGGATGCATCTGTGTTTAGAGGGTAGGAACAGTTACACAGGAACAAAACACACACTTGGATGATTACCTGAAGATTCACCTGAGATCAGGCCCTCCACCAAGTCTGGTAGCATTTCTTCTTGGAGGGACACTTAGCCCCTAAATCAATCCGAAGCAGCAAGAATCAGGTAAAAGCTTTAGTGTCCCAATTTGACTATGTACCATGGGTGAAAAATGTCTCCATTTATTTCCCATTTGCCCTTCAGGGTCATGACACCCTCCTGGTCATTGTCAAAATATTTTCTTAAATGAACCACTACAACCTCTGCTTGCAGAACCCATCCTTGCAGAGTGTATCCAACTTCTTCAAAAATGCCTAAGTGTGGGCAGTGCATTCCAAGATGTCTGGAGGCTACCTGAATAGGACTGAGTCCTACACATGTATATAGTGTGATTTCCCCTCCATACTGCTATCCACAGTGGGCTTAAATTTATAAATTTGGCATAGTAAGAGATTAACAACTTATCAAACGGAGGAACAGTAACAACAATACTGAAATAAAAGTCAAGTGAATGGGTTTCATTCTCAAAATTATCTTTCAGGGTTGCACTCCTTTCTCTCCTTGGGATGAGGTGGCATGCTGGAATGCCCTCGGGATGAGATGGAGTAAGCTGAATGATACAGACTCATGTGGAGTTATGCTAACATGTGCAGACAACCTAAAGCAGTACAGTGTGAGTGACAGCTGCTCTGATTCTAACACTGCTGTAGGACGACATGGTAAATGAAGTATACAGTGCAGGTCTGTGGGACAAATGCAAATTTCACATCTATGAGGCATGAACTGGACTAACAGGAGGTTTCTTCTCAATACTCACTACAGCATGGAATATATGTGGCTTCAAATGAATGAAATCTTTGCTTCAGAAACTTTCCATATATTCAGACTATACTGGGATACAGGTAACTGAGGCTAGGTAGACTAGAACCACAACTGGGATAGGGATAGGGGTGGGAAACAAACAGTCACCCCTCTTTCTTTCACTCCTTGAGACACTCTCTTCACAGAGCCTGACTTCAATGATTGCAAGTGGAGACAGTCATTTGCACCTTCCCAGAAATTTGGATATGAATTTGGAATATGAAATATTTCTGGTAGCACCCAAAACTGTTTTCCACTTTTCAGGCCTCTGGGGATGCCCTTTTTGCCCCAGCTAGTGCTTGTTTGCTTCGATGTAGTACGCTGGGCCCCTGTGTGCAGAGGTTAGTGAGAGAGAACTCTCAGAAATTACTGCTGCAGGGAGGGAAGGAAACAGGACTGAGCAGAGAGAGACTTGGAATTGAAGTGCTTCTGTATATTATACATTGGTCCGCAGGCTGGAACTGGGTACCCTCCACAGGAAGCCTTCCTTGAAACCCCAGGTCAGGGCCCTTATAACTCTACACTATTCAGGCCTCAGGAGCAGGCAGCCATCAAATACCAGTAGAAGCCTTGGGCAAGATGCCTTTCTATCCATGGGCAACTGGTGGGTAGGACCTGAGCTCTGAGTAGTCAGTAGCCAACATCCTGCACAATGAGCATAGCCCTGTCTCAGGAAGAATGGGAATCATGTCATACGAGCTATGGATCTGTCCAACACTTCCTTTATGTTATGGAAATTCTGTCCCTGCTATTTTGAAGGACAAAATAGTAGCTGACACAAATACAAAGTTATGTCAGGCCCTAGGCTCCACTCTGCCAATCTCATGAAGAACATTCCTTAACAACATGAGAATTAAAGTTTATCTGTCTACTCTTGTCACTCCCATCCCCTGTCCAGAACAAGAATGTGAACCTTTACGATCAGGAACATGTACCTGCTGCTACCTAGTCAGAGCTTCTGCTTCACAGCGACTGTGACTGTCAGCTTTTTGTTTATAATAATAAAATATTGAAGGATGCCAGATGACTCTTTCCCTCTTGTACTCTCCAATGTGGGAAGAACACTTAATAAATATCAACACCTTCTACAGTGATGGTCATGTTGTCTTATCCCGGATCCTCAGTAAAACAGGCACCCAGGACAAGAAATTGTGTAATTCAGTAGAGGCAAGGCCACCTTGAGGGTGACTTAACTAGCTGATCACCACTATGGGCACAGAGGTTCCATGCCTGGAATTCCTGTCAGGATAAGAAGAGAGAAGATTTCATCAACTGTCCCCTAGCCTACCTTGATCAAGCACAGCTCCTTGAGGAATTGACTACAAGTTTCAGGTCTACATGCATGATGTTTAGGAGTTATGAAGAAGGCTCTTGTGGGTTCTTATGTAAATGTGACACCCCACAGTAGAGAGCAATGCAGGTAAGAAATCATATACCTATCACAGGATAAGGAGAGGGGCCATGATACACATTCATACAGATTTGCCAGTAGGTAGCCAGCACATTCCTGACCAGTTCCTACCAATAATTAAACCTCAGGATCAATTTAAAAAGCAAGCTATGATCAGATTCTTTGAAGGAAGGAAATTTGCAGAAAGTACTCTCATTGTCCTTATTCTCACCATGACTCTTTGCCACTATTCCAAACCAGGGAGAGGTTCCTTTCAACTGGAAGTGTTTAACAAGAGAGCACTGTCTCCTAGCAGACTCACATGTCCTGGTACTTATCACACGGTCTGGATGTGAGAGTTCCTGGGAAACACATGATTGCAAGCATTTGTGAAGATGGCAGATTTCTGAAAGTTGTACCCCATCTGGAAAAGCCAACAAGAGTAGATCAAACACAGGTAATCTAGGAGCTAAGGACCCTTGCAGCTTGGTGGGACAAACACGCAGCTAGGAATGCATTTAGCTAACTGGTCACCTCGTGAGGAGACCATACTTAAGCCAGCATCGAGGGAGCTTGACCAAGGGAACTGCCAGATTGAATGAGGAAAGGATTTGGGAGGGGCTGTCTCCAGGGTGTACACTAATTAAGACTATATGAGCTCAGCCAGAGAGTGGGACAGCATCCATGTCTGCAGAGCTCACCCTAAGACTCCCACAGCAGTTCTATGGAAATCAGCTGGCTGGGTGGTATGTAGAAGGCTCTGAATGCCAGGTGTCAACAGCAATGATTTAGCCCCTTTTCTATTAGAAACCTGAGAACCAGGAGAAAAGCCCTAGGAGAGGAAAACCAAATAATACACTGAAAACCACTCCCACCACTGAGATGCTATGAGAAGGGTTTAAAACTCTAGAGAGGCAGGTAACTTTTCAAATAGTTTATCATAAAAATACGGCAATCTGGCTAAATAGGCAGGGCAAATAGGGAGAAACTGGTCGCAGAAGCTTCATTAATCTGTGCAGTTATTTTGAGGTTGGTCTCATTGAATGTTGTCCATAAACAGGCCAGGTAGCAAGATGTGTCACGGGATGCAGCAGAACCCGGAAAGCTGGTTCCTTCTACCTAATGCTGTTGTTATAATAGTACTAGGAAGGAAAAGAGAAAGTTGAGTTCAGGGAGGGAAAGATGATGTTTGCCATCCCTCAGTTCTACAGCACATCTCTCCTTAGGAAGGTTCAGGAATTTTTATCTGTCATGGGCTCCCCACTATTGATTTCCTCAAACCTTGTGTTCCTGTGTGCTTGTGTGCCTGTGTGCTATCATATGCATGTGTTTACACCACCAACCCTGTGTACTTGTATATAAGGCATTAACTTTCCCATAATTAAGTTTTCTTAATGGACAGGTGGATGTCAAAGCCCCAGATAGACAGCATTCTTTGAGAATACAGGAGCTGGACTGTATTACTGCATTCTTAGCCATGGAACCCTTCTCTGTTCATCCACCAAACTAAGAAAGATTCAATGCAAAGAGATACTGTGCCTTCGGGGAAACCATCCTGCTGTCTGGTCACAGAGTTGCCATGAGCAAGGGTATCAAATACTTTCCAAGTAGCATCATGGACTCCACCATCTACACATGCATAACTACAATGACTTTTTTAAAAAATAGTTTTTAAGATTTAATTATTTTATATGAGTACACTGTTGCTGTCTTCAGACACACCAGAAGCTGGCATCGGATACAATTATAGATGATTGTGAGCATCCATGTGGTTGCTGGGAATTGAACTCAGGACCTCTGGAAGAGTGATCAGTGCTCTTAACCCCTGAGCCGTCTCTCCAGCCCCCTACAATGTCTTAATAGTAGAATAATATCATATAATAGCTAGTCTATGTCTAAGACTGAAGGAGAGTGACTACTTTGTGTTTGCTGTCCAAATAACAAGAATCATCCATTCCCACCACAATCCTTCCCTCTTCTTATCATCTATACCATCCCTTAGATTTTAAGGAAAAAAAGAAACACAGTAGAGGCACTTGATGGTGATAAAACCAGATATCTTGATACTGCTCCCCACATTTAGATTCAAGAAAGTTGGTCTTCCTATTTTATCTGGATATAATCTGACAGAGTACCCACTGGAATATCTTAACTAATAATTATCATTTTATTGTTTATGACAAGCTGCAGAGACAACCTTAAATCCAATGATACAAATCCTAGCTATGACCCCACGAGACCAAATATGGTCACATCCTGGAATGAAGGGAAGAACCACGCCCAACTCAATCAACTCCTTCTTATACCAAGATATGCACTTTTGAAATGATTCACACTCACAACACACTTACCTGAAATGGGAATGTGACCAAAGACTAGAAGATACAGCCTCCCTGTATTATCCTCATAGTCAAGACCAGAACGGTCTTGGATCATCTGAGTACTTTGAATTAACACTCCCAAACTCACCAAATTTACTGTTTAACTAGCAGAGTTTTATCTAGCAAGGCTAAATCTAATTTGTTTCATATATGACATATAACCACAACTATTCACAGCTGTTGGGCACTTG